AAAGCTGGACTAGCTAAATCAGTACCAAACTCAATTATTTGGTGTCATCTTATTTACAGCCTAAAAACAATGAACGATATTCAAACACAACAGTTATTTGCTAACTGATACTTCTTACTTAATCATCCTAGTTTTAATTCTCTTCCTATATCTAGCAGAATTACTCAACTCTAATATGCAGCTTCCACTAATCAGTCAATACTTTCTTCTAATCTAATTGTTTTTCCGAATTCTGAAGTCAATACTGCTTCTGTGCAATCTATTATACTCTTTAACAGCCTTCAAATCAGCACAACAGTACCTTCATATTTGAACCAAAATATAATACCAATCAAAGGCCACAGTATTAATTACATTCTCCAAAAGTTGCCTTATGCAGCTATACTCAAAACCAAACTTAACAACACAAAAATTTGGTTTATCGAACAATTGTTTAATAGTGACTTTTCAACAATACTTACTTGGCAATATCTACAACAAAATACTCAAAAAATACCAAGAGGAAGGAAGCCTAAATGGTATTTAACCATTATTCAAGCTATACAAGATTATACTACCAACAACAATCTTAACTTCTAACAGTCTAATTATTTTATTACCCAACAACTAATTACTAAAGGATCATGGATTATAAGTATTGAAAAATTAGAGCCAATAATTAGCAAGGTTTCAACTGTTATTAGTTAATCTAAGATAAAAATTAGACACTATAATTTTCAACATTCGAACAACCTTGTAGTGAGATGCAATGGTTGTGAAGATTCTATGGGCCACAACTTCTGTACAAAAATCTTATCAACCTCAAAATGTTATAGAATATAGATTAGTAGCCACAACAAAATATATATTGATCTAGATGATATCCTTAATTGTGCTCAAATATACAAAGCAAAAGCTCTAGTTACATATAATTATCTAAGCTATAGCTAACCAAAATCAGCAAAATATAATAATACTCAAATAACAAAACAATTTGCTTGCAACACACACTCTGAAACAACGCTCTTAAATATAAATGCAAAAACTAAATACTTCAGTCAATTACAAATAGAAATCAATTACTTAACAAACAAGATACAGCAAGCAGAAACCTCACATACCACTTGGTTGATAAAAAATACTCAAGAGAATTACTACTTAAAAACTAGATCTTGGCTGTCAAAAAATCATAGCCTTCTTATAGCAATTCTCTCATCACTTCTAGTTGCTAAAAACAACTGCACTATCGAAATATATACTAATAACAACTCCTTAATTAATAACTATCTTCAGATTCAGTCACTTGCCTTCAACAAAGCTACATTAATCAACAATAAATATGGAGACTTATAGATCCTTATCCTTATGATTAAAGTACAGAAAGATATCAACTTAATCTTAACACATAAAGAGATTACAAAACATAGCAAAGAGTTAATAACAATCCTAGTTGATTTTTCTAATATCACTCTAAGACATGATACAACACGTATTCTGTAGAACAACTTAGCAATCATTCACAAACCGAGACGCTTTGTCAGACATCTATGTAATGCAGCACATATAGCAGAACTAAGCTCTCAATAAAGATTTGATGAGATCAACAATTTTCGCTCAGAACTTGACTGGTCCACGATAATAGCGATAATAAACTTTAATTGTATACCAAACACTCGATCTACTCATTTAACTCAATCTAAAATCAAGGCATTCAAACTTAAATTTTTAACTAATGAGCTACTGACTATAGAGAATCTGCACAAAAGATACCCAACTAAATATGATAATAATATATACAAATGATACTATATCTCAAAAGAAAATAACTTGCACTAGTGGGATTGTCCTACAAACAAAACTAGCATTCATCAAGTTATAGAAGAACAAGTCACAAAAACTTTTAACAAATATGAATGCATGGACATAAATATTTAAAATAAAACAAAAAATATATTGCTCACTAATATTGATCCAAGTTCAACACATCAAATATATCCTTGTCAAGGATATATAACTAAATATATTATTGAGCTTATAGATACGAACACAAAAAAGAATTCAAAACATAAAGTATCTGAAATTTTAATTCACAAAATTATCAAAAACATATACAATAAGATTTGGCTACCTAGATGTGCAGAAATAAATGACCAAAACAATGAAGACTAGCTCCCCCAATACACAGTTAATCAAGACTTGAATACACTACAAAAATCTATTGAAGATCTACCTGAAGAAAACTAAATAGAATAATAAATAGAATTAAACAATGATCAGATGAATTTCAAAACCTTAATAGCTCTCCAAAGTCTATCTTTAATTTCATAGACTAGGTAAGGTTTCCGGCCTTCTCTAGCAGAGCCTAGGCTGAAAGTAAAGTAGCTCTAGCTTTTAGTTTTAGGAAACAGTCTGTAATAACCATAATGTATATGACTCTACAGTTGCTATAAATAAAAACTGAGACAAGGCCTCCCTCTATAAAAAAAAAAAAAAAAAAAAAAAAAAAAAAAAATGTTTTACAAGGCAGATTCTCTCAATCTAGTTAGCCACCAAGCCAAGTTAGTATTACTAATTTTCTCTATAAAATAGATTTATGCGTATTTGACTTGATCTGCATCTTTTGATGATAGTTTCTTTTCTAGATCAAGTGTTAGCTAATATGACTATTGAAGGCTATACTACTTCACCAACTTAGGATTTCTACTATGCAGATCCTCTGCTCATAGATCCTATCAAGATTTATTCATATAACATTATGTCTTGCCAAATGCCTCGTCATACTTCCAATATTTAGTGCAATATGATTTACAAGGTTACAACCCCAGAAATGAACAGAGTTTACTGTAAGTTGAGTACAAAAATCTAGGTAATTATTCAAATTTGTTAATGTGAGATTTGAACTCCAAACCTCTTGCATGGTGATCTGGCAACCTAACCACTACACTAAGATTACCAGACCTTTGTTTTAAGGTTTTTTAACTTGTTTGAAAGTTTTTTCTTAGTATAGTTTTGAACTTAGATTATTACCTAGTATATACTTAAAGCTTTTACTAGGTTTTAACAATTTTATATTTTATATAGTCTATATAATCAGATAAAGTTCCTAGATTCTCTTTTTTTCTTTTATGTTAAGAAGATCTTCTAGTGTGACAGGTCATATCTAAGTACACAAAGGAGTATTAAGTAATGCTTCTTATTAGGAAATGAAAAATAACATGAGAGATTTTTTTTTAGACTAGCTATCTAATTTGTAACTTCACAGCTTCATAAATAAAACAAACATGACTGTTAAAGAAAAAAAAAAATACTTGATCTGACAAAAGAAATCATATATAAAAGATGCAAATTGAGTAAATGCAAGTAAATTCATTATAAAAATAACAACACCAATCTGACTTAACAGCTAACTAGATTTGGAAGGATCTGTCTTGTAAAACATCTGAAAACATGAAAGACTAACTTGTAGTATATGCATAAAGTGACTTACACCCCAGCAGGCCACTTTTGCTTTAAATATCATAAGTTAAAATTTAATAGTTAATAGATTATTGCTTTTTACAATTTTTTATTTCGTTATACTGTATATTATGATTTGTTTAAATTGAAATTAATGTCGCTTTTATTGAAAAGGGACTGAATTACTGAGTTGTGAATATTATTACGATCATAGCAAATAATATTGAGGATAATGCTTGAGAAAACTTCAATTACTTCATTAATGTTTGCATAATCAAAATTTTTTGCTAATCACATCAAAGATGATTGATGCTTGAGAATGTCCCACTGATATTCTTTTCGATTGTTTATTTCCCTTTGACAGATTACAAAAATTAGGACAAAATGAACGTTTACAACAAAGATTAATAGAGGAACAAGGATTCTTTATGAATTTTATTATATTAATTTTATAACAATAGCGATTAATAAAATTTAAATCCTATTATAAATTAAATTCAAGTGTAAGACTGTATTATAAATTTAATTCTAAAGTTTAAGACCTGAGACTTAAGACTCTTTTCTCTAGCAGTATCGATAAATAAATAAATAAATAAATATCTTTATTATGTCTTGAGTACCTACCATCTTTAATCTAAATTGGACTTCTGAGATTACCAGTATAACTCGTGACTTTTAAGATAAAACTCTGTATAAGCCGAATATAAACGAGACGCACTAACGCTAAGCATTCATTAATATAGATTAAAACTGCTGACTAGAGATTTCCCAATGATGCCGTAACTTTGCCGTAATATGCCGTAACTATATTAAACAATTATAAAAAGTTACGGCACATTTGCTGTAACTTTTTATAATTATTTGATATAGTTACGGCATGTTACGGCAAAGTTACGGCATCATTGGGACGATTCGCCTGCATCTCTACTGCTGACACACCTTAGTTACGTATTTTGTTTAAGATTTACGTTCATCAACACCTGATGTGCGTAACTGTCACTTGATGCCATGTGCTAAAAGCATAACTTATTTTGGATATGATAAACGTTAAGCTTTAATAAAAGTAGCTTTTTACCCCTTAACTCTCAATTCGAAATTCAGAAAGACGAATAATCTCATATATGGATCCAACGACACAACCAGACGAAAGAACCAGTCTTTTACGTGATGAGGTAATGAAAATGTTAAGTTGAATTATAAATTGAATTATAAATTGACATAAGTAACATTTATTTATTCATATTATAATAGGCTGAATTTCAACGACAACTTGAGGAAGATGCTTTTGAAATAATAACATCAACTGGAATTCAAAGAACTCATAATGTTTTTAGAACAAAACCGCCGCGTATCGTTGCATTGGATGTATTTCGTGGATTTATGATGCTTTTACAATCTGTCGAGCGTAAATAATTTTAAAAATGATGACTATAATTAATTATATATTTTATAATGCATAAATGCTTTGAGTCAATGAATATTGTTAATTTATTAGATGCCAGAATCTTTTTAACAAATCGTGAAAGTCAAGCTCGTAAGTTCTATCTGAATTTTCACAATTTTTTTATTAGACTTTATTTAAAAATATATCATTTTGAAAAATTTAGAAATTGAAATATGGTATTCTCAACCATCATATACGAAAGCTTTTAATACTTTAATAAGAATGGTAACACATTTAGCACCTTTAGGGTTTGCTTTTGTGATGGGTATTGGAATTGTTTTATTCTCACAATCACGAATAATCATTGGGTGGTCTCTTAAAGATTTGGCATCACATTTTTTTATTAGAGGTGTCGT